AGGAGGTACCCCTTTGCCAATGTTGGCCCCTTCTCCTCTACAGTCCCCACTCCACTCCCCACTCTATAAAATCAAGGAAGCCCAACACAGAAAATTGCTTATTTGAAAAAGCAATATCCAAATGCTTTCATCACTCAAATGCCCTTTTGAAAATATTGTCCACAGTGGCTATTACCCGGACAATGCTGTCAATTTCTGTAGTCTGCAGAAAATCTTCCCTCAGATAGGAAAGTAGGACATTGGGCACCTATCACCAAAAAAATCAACCAATTTCCCTGCCACCTGATACATTTTTCACTCAGACAACACTTTCATTAAGGGGGGAAATGGCCGTCAACAATTCAAAGCAAAGCAGGAATCAACTGCACAGGAAGAGGAGCCACACATTTAATGGCTTTCCCAGAAAATGTCGCTGAGAGAGTTGGAGTAATTCTAGTTCTTTCCTTTTAATTCTGAAGGCAGCTTCACCCCCCAAACTGTCACTAGCAGGCCCCAGACCAAGCTTACCCTCCTGGAAATAGGCAGAAGAGCAACTGCTTTCCATACACCCCAGAGAGCTGCTCTCCTAGTCAAGTCAGGATTGAACATTTTAGGAAAATGACTGGAACAGTGGCAACTTCTTCATCCCATAGAGCTCTGGAGTACATCTGTTACTACTGCGTTCTCCTGTTGTGCTGATGGCACGTAGGCCTCTCCGAAAGTCCAAGTTTAATCCTTTATCTGGAAAGCTGGTCTGAAGTCAGAAAGTGTAGTGGGATGGAGGATTTTTAGTACTGCCTCCAAAAACTAGCCTTAAGAGAACATTTAATAGCCACTGTTAGGTGGTAGTTTATTTTATTTGGGTTATGTTCAGGACTAAATTCAAGCTGGTTAAAATGTTCAGCGGGAATCTGGCTTCAATTTCAAAGGATGAAAAGTACACATGCTTTGTCCAAAGGGTGAACTTCAGTGTTCTCTCTCCCTCTGCTTTCCCCCCAGTTTTTATATTCCTTCATAGCCACTTTCATAATGAGTGAAATTTACCCAAAAAGTATGACTTCTCAAAGGGCAGAGGTAGAGAGCCCCTGGATATATAAATCACTGTTAAACACTTGGTGCAGAATTCACACTTTAAGGAAAAATGGAGAGAAGAGATGACTTAAAACTCTGTGTCACAAGGTTTAAAAGGATTTTCAATTTTTGCTCCTTTCACTTAAGAAGCAACTAGTTTATTAGTAATATTAATTTCTAGTAGGGTGGTAGAACCTCTTCTCATTATCGAACTGTGGGTGTATGACTGGTCACAATATCATCATTCAATCCCTTGTCACATTCTCTGGACTCAATTAATTTCTGAGTGGTGTTTTCATTGACATGCCAAAAGAGTGCTCATTAGACTCAGTTCTGTAGCTGAGGACTATCACAAAGGAGTCCCCAAACAGAGTGTCATACTTTCTGTTGAGAGATGCTTTTCCTATTCTCTGGCCTATCTTTCAGCTTGATCCATTGGCAATAACTTAATTTAGGACCCCCACTATTTAGAGAGACAAGCCACACTTCCCCAATTTATTTAGTGTGCACTTTAATGTAATTAAAATTCTATAGTCTGTTATCCCATTACATCATACTGAAAAGATCCTAGAATTAGTCCAAAAGTGACAGTGAATAAAGATTGCAAGATTAACAAAAAATTTTAACAAGTATTAAGTCATGTGTTCCTCTCTTATTGAATTCAGACTTTCACATCTGCAATACACAAGACCCAATAGACTAAAAATTTTCTCTCCCTTACGTAAAAAAAAAATATTTTCCTTTTCCCATTTATTTTTGACTGGAGCTTTCCTTGTGGTGATTTTTCGCATCCTTATTTTAGCCAAAATGATTCAGAAGGTAACTTTGTAAACACATTTCTAAATAGCTTCCCATTACAGTTCTAAAGTAAGCTTCTAGTTTGAACAAGGATAGACCAATCTCACAGTAAACACAAAGAGACCCCCAAATCCTCAATGCAGAAGAGGTATTCAAAAAACCCTAGGCCTAGAAACATGCTTTGAGAACATTCCCCCAAGTACAGGCAGAAAACCAGGGCTTAGGTATACTGTATTGATCTGTTACAGACGAGAGCTGCTTTTCATAAGAAATTCTTTCCAAATTTAAGGTATTTTTCTATAAGCAGGAGTCTCAATATTTCTGTACAGCAGATACCTAAACAGGTCTTACTTTCGGTACATAATGTGGCAATTCCTCCTTGGGAAGCATACCTGAGGTTCCCTAGGCTCGAAGGGAAAAGTGCAATGAGATATCGGGTGAGAGGCAAGGCATGGAGTGCTCCAGTCACTTAGCTTGTTGTTTAGGTCCATAAAAACGAAAAAGTACTCATAAATTCCTCCCTGGGTTTATGTCAGTTCAAGGGGAAAATAAAATAATGATTTTGTCATCTCTGTCTTTTGGATTGTAACTTGAAGCAGTTCCTGGCAACCTGTATGCATCTATTTCAAGTTCTTGAAAAGGACAGGGATGTTCTGGGGTACAGGTACCCTAAGGGTACCTGCTGTTTAATGAAGTAGATGGCTGGAGAAAGAAGCCTTGATCACTCCTTGGTCTGTTCATTGCCCTAGAATTTTAATCACGACTTCTAGCTTCTTGATTTGCTTAAAATCATCCTGACATGACTGCCCAATTTGCCTTTTTAAATTCATTTCCATGGTAAAAATCAGTTTTTTTGCTTCTTCAAGAAAACAGTGTGGACCATGGGATTACAATCCCTGGAAATACTGCCTTGGGTCATGGCCATCAGCCTTTTGTTTTGGTGGTATGTGTGGTTTCCAAACCCGATATACAAAACAACTTTAGATTGGAGAGAAAGGAACGGACTTCTAAATCGCCCTCTCTATTTTATTGTTCACATTTCGTATTGTTTTGAGTGAAATTGGAAAAATTGTCTCCTTTCTCCGTATTGCCAAAAGGCATTCAGGTAATGAAGTCTGTAACTAAACGGTAATTGAATCAGCATAATTTGCACACTGAATGGTTTTCAAATGCTCCCAGTTTACAATTAAAGGAGAATTAATGCGCTTGTTGTTGAGAACGCAGCGCATTAGAATAAATCCAGCACTGTTGTTGTAATGAGTAGAAAACGGTTTAACTGCCAACAAACACATTTAAAATTTAACACAACGTATTGATTTCACTTCTGCTGTTGATAGATTATTTTCCAGACTATCGAAATACTTGCTCCACGCAATAAACTGCACCGTAGCCGCAAGCCTTTGAGGTATATGTGAGCACAGCCCAAGGGCGCAAGGCAGTCCTGAGGTTCAGGTCACAGTAAAGGTATGCAGAGGAGAGGGACAGGTGGGTTACAATGATCAAGGAAATCATGAATATTCCCCCTTTGTCACCTTCCTTTGAGCTCCCTCCCCCTCATCCCTCAATAAACAATTTTTGTATTTCCTCTGGCCAAACTTTCTGCCCTCCATCTCTGAGCTCTCAATGTCAGTGGGTTTACTGGACATAGACGGGGCGAAAATGATTAAAGATGGGAAATAGGAAGGACACCTTTTGCATTCAGTCTGCGTTCCAGCAGGAGAAGGTACAGACTTCGGTGCCAGAGTCAGAAAAGCTGTTCTTTTGGATTGGCCGCCCCGGCTTTCACCTGTTTACCCCAAGGTGTCCTGCAGGCGAGGACGCTGATGCGCAGCGCCCTCTGGCGTCCGCGGTTGCTACGGTCAAGCAATAAAGGTGCAAAGACAGGCAATATTGAAGGTTCTTAGAATGAAGCTGAAACCGGTTAAACACGCATATTCACACACAAGTGTACTTACATACTCACTCACTCACACAGAATTCACGCAGTTCGCAGCCCTGCATTCTCGTGCACCGGCGCAGCGGCCGAGAAACGCTGTCAGTTGCAGGGGTGGTAACTTCATTGCTCCCAGACTTGGGAGTTCTGAAGCTCTTAGGATTGAGGGGTGCCAGAACTAACCCCTAGTCCCACTTATCGCGGCCCCAAAGAGAACGCAGGCTGATTCAGCGATCCTCATTCCTAGACATAACACATTAAGACCTAGGGCGCTCCGGAGGCCCATGATGGGCTTTGGAAGACTGTGCACTGACTGAGCTCAACTTTACCAGCGGGGCGCAAGTTCCTTGGCCCTCTCAGAAACCAGACCTGAGAAATCTCACTCTCCTTGTTGGCTCAGCGTGTTGCCTCCGACTTCCAATTCACCACAACAAAGCACTTCGCTCTGGGTTCTAACAGTGAGAAGTCTAGACCCCAAAACTCTGCTCCTAGGAGAACGCTGCTTTGTTTAGCATGCTCTTCTGGCGACAAGGCCTGCCATTCCCTAAAAAGGGGCTTGGTACTTGAGCCAGAATAAGGTTATTTGGTGGAAAAGAGAGGATGAGAGGCGAGGGTGGAGCCGCCTTTGCCTGGGCGTCTTTAATCTAACTCTGTCTCCGATTGTTTAGCAGTGTCCCTCACAGTTAACACTCTGTCTGAACCCCTGCAAGTGGAAGAAAGTTACCTGGACTTCTTTATCTGTCACATCTCTAAATAGGGAGTAAGTGGGTAGTTTTCACTTTCAAAGTCACAAACCTGGGCAGAGTCCTGCTTCCACCCCCCCCACACACATACACACACCCTCAACCCCACCCCTATTTTCTTTCGTTTTAACTCAGTGGATGGACTACTGAGAGTTCCATGCCTTCCACCTCTTCCCTTCGCCTTCTGCCTCGTAAAGCTTGCTGTCCCACTGTCTCTTAGTTCCTGGGTGTCGAGGGCACCCTAGCCTCTGCTCAGAATCCACGCGCAGGACAAGGGAAACTGGAAGACGAAGGGAGTAGGAACCCAGAAAATCCCGCGGGGATCTGGATACTAGCTGCCAAAGTTGTCCCAACACCGTCGCTGGGAACGCTGCGTATGCTGAACTGGCGGCACTTTTCTACCGCATACCCCCAGAAGCCTCGCCTCCCGGCCGGCTGGGGTGAATCGCAAAGGCAACCGACCGGCCTCGACTTACCAAGTAGACGGTGGGCTGCAGGAGGAGAAGCACGTACCAGCACGCAGCCTGCATCCTCCCGCGTCTCAAACTTCCTTGGCGGTGCCTTCGCTGAGTCTTTGTTCCTTCAGACACATAGATCCACCTGACATCCACTTTACAGAGCAAAGAGCGCTCTCAGCAGCCTAGATACAAATGAAATTAGACATCCCATGACCACGCGGGCAAGGTTAGGCTTGGCGACCAAGCAGGGAAAAGGGGTCGTGGCGGGAGGGGTGGACCACAAAAACCAGGAGGAGGGGTACAAAAAATTGAAAAGCGAGTAAATCCAGCTCCTGAAAAGAGCGAGCGCTCAGTCCGCAGGCTGGCGGGCGGGCTGAGGGTGAGGGGCACCCTGCGCCCAGCGCTCCTCCGGTGCGAGTTCTGGGCAGCCGAGGCCGGAGGTGGCGGAGCACACAGAGCCGCTTGCGGGCTAATTAGGAGCCCAGCCGTCCCTGGCAATGAGACCTGCCCTAGTGCTTGATCGCGCGGCTGCTCGGACTAAAGGCGGCGGCTGGTTCCTCGCCAGCTCTGGCAGTGCTCACACACGTACACACCAGTAGAGAGAGACAGAGAGAGAAAGAGAGGAAGAGAGAGGGTGAGCGAGGGGGGCGCGGGGAGAGGAAGGGCTAGGTAGAGCTGACCAGGATTAGGTGCTGGCCATCTCACCACGTTCGGGGGAAGTGGGGGTGGGGAAAGGGAATGTAATTTGCATGCAAGAAAGCCGGGCTCAGTTTACCCACGCGAGCCCTTGCACACACACAGGTACACACGCACACATACAATCACATCTTTAGCACGACTTTTTTTAAAAAACCAAGGGGCACAGCCAGTCGCTAACTTCTAGAGCGGAAGACTGCCCGGGGCTGTGAGGGTCACCTGCCGGGCACGCTCTATCTCCCAACCACTGTCCCTCCCCACCACCGTCCCTTCTTGGCGCCCACCACCACACCCCAAGGTGTCCCTTCCGGGAGCATTGGAGCCAAGGAGTACATACCGCACTGAACTGGGGGCGAATCCGGCGAGCAGGGACCGCTCTGGACAGGCTCCATGGAGGAGCTACTCGGGCCTGGCGTCTCCAGCGCCCCGGACGTGCCCTCCCTGGCGCTCCGTCTCCATGCTCGGTAGAGGACGGGTCCAGCAGCCTTGTCCAGCCTCGGTGGAGTCGGCGTCCCAGTGCCCGGGTCGCGCTCAGGATTGGTTCGCGGGAACCTAGGCTTGGCACAGTTGGATTCACGGTGCAGGAAACTTAAGAGGCAAGAAAGGGAGGGGAAAGTAGAGGAGGAAAGAGAGGAAGAGAGGAAGAAAAGGAGGGAAGGAGAGAGGCGAATGCGCCGGGCTGCCGCGCCGGGCTGCCGAGCCGGACCGACTTGGACTGCCCGCGCTGGCACTGGTACGAGCGGTCCAGAGCTCCCGAATTCCAGCGGCTTGCCGGAAGATGGTGGAAATGACTTAAAGGGAGACTGGACAAGTCCTCGGGACTTGAACTTGCGAGATAAGACACTGCCTTTTCAGAAGAAAAAAGCCACACGGCAGGCGCGGGCAGTCCGAGTTTCCGAAGGAGGGGTGGGGCGATGGTAATCTGGAAGCTGAGCGTGAGCAGCGGCTGCACCTCTCTACCGAGTCGCTGGGAAGCCCAGGAGCCTCGCGGGCGCTGTCCGTGGTCCTGCCCGGCCACCGGGGGACGCTCTGGAGGCCCTGCGTTTTCGGGCACCCGGGTGATGATGGTTTCTCCGCAGGGCCGCGGCTCCTACCTCCCCGACACGGGCAATTACATTGACACGTGGGTGAACGACTCCTCAAAGACTAATTAATACCCCGTGTAAATAGGTCCTGCTTTCAGGCTCCCGTTTGGCCGGACCCGCTGGGAGAAGCTGCTCCTGCGGCGTAACTGGTGGCTGTAGCGTACCCTCCCCAGGGGGCGTAGAGAGGATCTCTACCGCCCAGGGAGTGGCGGGGAGGTTAGCAGGGGGGGGCGGGCGGGGCCCCCC